TAATGGCTAGTATTTTTATAGCACCTTGATGTTTGTAAAGCACTTTACAGATGTTCATTCATTTGATCTCCAGAACAACCTTGTGAAGTAGGTGCTATTTTCTCCACTTCACAGATGAAGAAACTGAGACTGAGAGAGGTCAGATATCTTGTCCAGGATCACGCAATGCCTGAGGCAAGATTTGATCAGGCCTTCTGATCTTCAGATCCAGTACCCCAACTCTCATAGCACCTGATCACTTCTAGAATCGGAATACGGCCAACTCTTTGTTGGTGTTCAGTGATTGAAATGTCGCCTGCACTGTTAATAATTTTGGTTCATAGATAAGAAGTTAATTTTGTCAAATGTTTTATGTATTCTTTTCTAAAACATTACTTCTAGTAGTAAGTTTGTCAATGAACTTATTGATCCAGTGGCTGCTTCCAGACCACCTGTCCAGTGTGGAGAAGGAAAACTGTTTTGTAACATTTTTTAATATTTCTGTATTCAGTCTCATATGTGGTCTTTTGCAACTAGTTTTGTTTAATGGAAGTTAATGCTTTATTTTAGTCCTCTCTAAAACTAAAACTTCCATTAATTCAGAATTCAAAACTATGAAATTCATATTAGCCATCATGATTGCCTTCAGATCCTGTAATAGGGGTTCTTAATTTGGGGTCTGTGAACTTGTTTTTTTAAATATTTTAGTAACTTTAAATATTATCGGTTTCCTTTGTATTTTGTTTTACACATTTAGATACATTATCTTGAGGAAAAGTATGGGCTTTATCGTGAGCATGCAAAAGGTGCCCATGACACAGTAACACTGAAGAACCCATATAAGATCTGAAAGGTCTCTGAATCATCAGAGAAAATGATATTCATTGTGGTTTTAAAGTCAAATAGATTTTGTGATATTATTATTTGAAAATTGGTAAAACAGGTATGACACATTAAAATTTGCATGACCTTTCCCACTATACTACTAGTGCCACACAAATTACCTTTTTGAAATCCAGTTCAGCAAAAGTATAGAATGGAGCAAGAGATGAGGAGCAGTACCAAATGACAAGATATATTGGAAATGTAATATCAAGTTGGGGAGTGGAAAGGAAAATCTAGAAAGGGGTGGTAGGTAGTTGATATGATAGATCTGAGGAAAGTGAGATCATATTCAACTAAAGATATTCAATTCAGACATTAAGTCCCTTTATGCAGCATACTTTTCTAGGCACTGGGAAGCCAGATTAAATTAGATATGATCTTTGCTCATAAAGAGCTAGCAAGAAATAAGACAATCACAAATAAACTTTTAATAAAGGACAAGTGGGGTCCATTTTGTTATAAGAAAACTTTCTAGGAAAATAAACTCGTATTCTCTTAAATAGGATGTCTTTGGGTGTCATTTTAAGAATTTTTAACGATTTGCAAGAAAGGAGTGTGACTTAACAAGTAACTAGTGGAAAGGATGGTTGGTAGAGGGCCTGATGTCTTGGGAAAATAGTTCGGAGATGGAGACCTGTGGTTCCTTCCCTCTTGTTCCCCAGGAGGGATGTCTAAGACTAAGCTAGAGAGCCAAGGTTAATAACATGTGAGAGGAACAGTTGGGAATAAGAGGAGTATAGCAGATAAAGGTTAAAGACACGAGGAAAATAACGTGAGGAGGAGCAACAGGGTCACAAAAGTCAGGACAAGAAGGATAGAAAAAAAAGTGGTACAATAGTTAACCTGGACAGGGAATCAGGGGACTTGAATTTTAGGGCTAGTTTGGCGTAAGTGACCCTGAGTGCATCATTTAGCCTGTCTAAGCTTCGTGTTCACCTCTGAAATGAGGAGGTCAGAGTAGATGATCGCTAAGATCCCTTCCAAGTCTGTTTCAATTTAATTTCAATTTAACTATTAAGGTTCTGTGTGCCAAGCACTGTTAGGCCTTGGGTATATAAAGATAAAAGCAAAACTCCCTGCCACCAAAGAGAATACAGTCTACTGGGGGAATACAACATATACATTGAGAAGTCAAAACAAAATATATGCAAAATACTTTCTGACATGTGCAGCAATTAGAAAAGGTGTAGGAAGTAGCACTTGACCTGATTCTTGAAAGGAACTGGAGGCTGGGGTACGGGGTAGGGGTGAAGACACAGATCATTCCAGTCATGAGGGCATAAAGATGGGTGGTTAGGGGTAGTGTCCAGGGGATGATGGCAAGTAGCATCATTTGGCTAGAATGTAGAATTGGTGAGGGAGAATAATATGCAGCCAAATGGGAAAACGAGCTAGATGGTGAAGGACTCTAAATGCCAAAAAAAGGAATTTCATTTGTATCTGATAGGCAGTAGGGAGCCACTAAAACTTCTTTAAAAGGGAAGTAACATGATCAGAACTGCTTTAACAATAGAAATTTAGCATCTGTGTGGAGATGGATTGGAGTGGAGAGAAATTGGGTACAGGGAGACCAGGTGGGAACTATTGCAATAGTCTAGGTTAGAGATGCTGAAAGCCAGAATGAGAGCAGTGAGTGAAGGTGCTGGATTTAAAAGATAATATACAGGTAAATTCCAGCCCTACCAGCTGATTGGACAGGGTAGGGCACAGTGAGGAAGAGGAAAAAGTTGAGGATGATGCCAAAGTTGGGAACCTGGATGATTAGAAGAATGGTTGTACCCTTGACAGAAAGAGGGTATTTGAGAGTTGCATTTAGAGGGAAGGATAGTTCTTTTGTGGAGATGATGAATTTGAGATGCCTATGGTACATCTGTGTAGACATGTCACAGACATAATTTAGGACTGGAGCTGAGGAGAAAGGTAAGAGTTGGGCATATTGATTTGGAAGTCATCTTTATAGGGATGATAGTTTAATCCATGGGGATTCATGGTGAGGAAACTAAGAGAGGGAGTCCACACTATAGCCCTGGGCTACAGCCACACATAGAGTAATGGCATGGATGATGTTGCCATAGGAAGATAGAGAAGGATCAGTTTTGACAGGAAATCTGGTTATAGAGCACTGTTGGGGGAAAAAACAGGAGAGAGGCCAGAAATCAGCAACAACAGTGTCAAGTTCTGCAGAGAGAATGAGAAGGGTGTAAAGTGAGAAGAGACTACCAGAGAGCATTCTCATTCAGGGAACAGAATCAGAATCCACACTTCAAGGGATTCAGAAATGAATGTGAAAGGGCAGCTAGGTGGCGCAGCGGATAGAACGCTGGTCCTGGAGTCAGGAGGACCTGAGTTCAAATCCAGCCTCAGACACTTGACACTGTGTGACCCTGGGCAAGTCACTTAACCCCATTGCCTAGAAAAAAAAACCAAAAAAACAGAAGTGAATGTGAGATGAGGAAGTCAAGTCAATGAATGTGTAGAGTATTTTTCTGGGATTTTGGATGTGAAAGGGAGAGATATAGCTTGAGGGAATAATAGGGTATGGTAAAGTAGTAAAGGGTTTTTTGTTTGTTTTTAAGATGGGAGAGATCTTCATGTGTTTGTAAGTATTATTAGAGAAGAAGCTAATAAATAAGGAGAGACTAGAAATTAGAAAGGACAAAATGTAAGTAAAGGACAAACCCCTGGAAGGAGATAAGATCAAAGACAAAATACCATAGGACTGGCATTGGCAAGAATGGCCACCCACTTCTTAGTCTATGACTAAAGCAGAGGAAGAAAGACTAGGGGATGGTGTTAAGATTTGAAGTATTGAATTAGAGAAATGAAAGAGCTTGGGTCAAACTGCCTCAATTTTTTCAATAAAACATGAGACAAGGTCCTCTACTGAGAGAAAATCAGGGAGGAGGTGGTGTAGGTCGCTTGAAGTGAAGAACAAAGACTGGTAGAGTCCATCTGGGAATAGTAAAAGTATTGAGGTGCAGTAATGGAGACTCAGTTGAGAATTACACAACCGAAATTAATTCTGGATCTAGTCCACAAAAGTGTGTGACTTCTAGTGACATTTAGTAGTAGTGGATTATGGGAGTAATCTAGGATGGGGATTGAAATGTATGAGCCTTAGTAAAACAAGGAAATAAGGGATTCAAGGATTAGAGACACAGTAAAATTTAAACTAGTTAACTATATAAGATAGGATCAAGATTTTGAAGGAAAGAAAGTGAGACCAGAGCACCATTGTAGTGGTCTGGGAAAGCAGAAAAGGGTGGAGTGACTGGAGGTTGCAGTGAGAATTGAGAATAGGTTTAGAAGGGCACAGGGAAAGATACAAAATGGGACGTTATTATCTTCTAGAAAAATTTAAGAGTTATGACTTGTGGAGATGGAACCCTTTGTGGCTGGTCAAGGGACACGACCCTCACTGCATGTTACCGAGGTGAACTGAAGGGGTTCAGAGCATGGGAGTTAAAAAAGTCCAACTGGGAAAAACAAAGTCCAAGGATATATTACAACACACTGGTGTATCATGAGTTTTCTCAGCTGTGCCATGAAATTTTGAGTATTTGTTGAACTTTTTTTTTAATTTAAAAAATCCCCAAAGAGTTTGTTAACTAGAAGAACAGTGTGTGTAGTGAATAAATATCTCTAGAGAATCTTTCCCAGCATGTCTAGGGAAAAGTCATGTTCTGCAGGGAAAAATACCAGAAGCACATAAACATTTTGCTTTTTTGTTTAGTTTCTGTAGCTTTCTAGAAAAAATAAGAACTTAAGTATGTTCTAAGGTCTTATTTTAGATTTCAAGGAAGAATGTAATGTATTCTTGATTAGTTCCCCTATTTGCAAGTCAGTAGACATGACAGAATTGTCAGCATGTGAATGCCTATTAAAAAGATAAGGGGAAAGGAGAATATATGCAAAATTTTAAAATGTATTAAATACTATTCCTTTTTCAGTAATGTGATTTTTTTTTAATTCTAGAAAAAAGTCTAAAGGAAAACATGATTCGCATTTATCGGAAAGTTTTCTTATTACGTTTGATATTGTGCATCTTACTTAAATTCCATAATAGTTCCATAAATATTGTGAGTTACAAATACCTGCTTAGTTGAATGATGTATCCTTTTCTCCCCTACCTCAAGATTGAAAAGGCCAAGCCCTTTAAGTGTGGAACATTTGGTGCAGCATCTCTACAGCAGAGATATTTAGCTACTGGAGATTTTGATGGAAACCTGAATATCTGGTAAGATTATTTAATATGTGTTTAGACAGATGAGATTAAAAAATTCTTTAGCATTCATATCATTCTGCTTCTGGAAAAGAGAATTTTTTTAAAAAAAATTTCCTTGTTCAGTCTTTATTTGGTTTTAAGATAGATGTTATTCAAAGTCTATATTTAGTATTCATATTCAAGTGCAGGTTGAGAATGTTGGGTGCATTTTTCTTTAGTTACTGTAGATAGATACTCTTAATGATATGGACATTTAAGAAAATGCTACAATATTTAATCTCTTTGAATGCTAATGTTCAGAACTCTCAACTTCTGGTTATATTCTTACTTGAGGATATTTATGTGAAGATCCAAACTTATAAAACTGAAAAATTATTTTGTTTTTATTTAATGACAAAAGTAGCATTTTCTTCACAGCAGGACTCATTGGTTGTGTTTCTTTAAATAAAAGTTTCCACTGCTGGTTTTCTAAATCAAATATTTATACACATTTTCAGGAACATAACTATTGTATAAATTAAGGTAAATTTACACTATAAGAAGGGCCGTAATAAGTGTGCCAAAATCTTGTCATTTGTATCTTTTATGAGAGCTGTCTTTTCATCCTCCTGGATCTGGAGCCCAAGAGCCGAGAGTCTAATCTAGGCTTTGAAACACACCACCTTTATTTGTGACTAGGGGCAAATTGCTTCACCTCTTTGGCTTTAATTTTCTTATCTGTAAAATAAGGGAATTGGACCAGGTGTTCTGTAAAGTCTATCATTCCTAGTTCTAAATCCTGTGACCTTTTCATTTTTAGAAGCATCACTCAATATTATTAACGACTTGAAATGTTTAAGTAGATGGTGATTCTCTGGACAAGAAACTTCCTCTACAGAATTATCTTGGCTAGCATCCTGACCCATACCTCTTTAGAAGAAAATCTTCTTGAGACGATTTTTTTGTGACTTAGTCTTATATCCTTTAGGAGATTGGGGCTATTCAGAATTCTTCTTTGTATTAACTGCTTTGTGAACAAGTAACATCTACCAACATGCATAGGACGTAAGGTGAAATAGCAAAGGAGAGAAACATTAGGAAAGGCTCCCCCAGAAAAAATAAAAGAGTATGAAAGCAATAGGAGAATAGATTAAGAAATAGAAGTTTGTATAAACCAGTGCATATTGGCACCTCATTTATAACTTATCCATAGTCACACCTATGTGTCAGAAGCAGGATTTGAACACGTCTTCTTGATTCCAAGGCTGAACCTCTATTTAGTATACATAAACCTTGTCTTGCTAAACAAATAAACAGGCAAGGTTCACAATTCATGAATAGCCTTTTTTTTCTTAAAAAAAGATATATAATACTAAATATTAAAAGGAGGAAAAAATAGGGAAGATTCCGATAGGAGAAATAAAAGGAGTGTGAAAGGAATTGAAGAAGAGATTGAACAAAGAGAGTTTGTTGAAACTAGCTATACCAGACAACCTTATCTCAAACTTCTTGTGTAGGGATCCACACTTCCACAGGCCAATTCTTGCATCTCTCTCTCTCTCTCTCTCTCTCTCTCTCTCTCTCTCTCTTTGCCAACCATTATTAAAGCAGTTTGGAACATTTGGTCTACATAATATTATATCACAGCTAATATTTTAAATAATTTGCAATATTTAGGCACAGTTTAGAAAAGAGATGAAATTATTTCATTGGATGAGGCATTATCTGGAATTCACACTGAAAATAAAAGTGTATACCATCTATTAAGGGAGATTTCTCAGATAAAATAAATTGTCTTGTCCACATATTTAGATATTAGTAAAAAGTCTTTGGTTGTAATCTAAACTAATATGAATTTACTTTTCATTAAAGTTAGTATAAGATTTGGGGGTGAGCATTGGAGCATTGAGTGGAGAAAGATAAGATAATAGGGTAGAATGCAGAACATTTTAAAACTAATATGTTTCATAGAAAACTTTCATAACAGAACCTTTATTTTAAATGCAAATTTGAACACTGTCTTTATTTTGTGACCAAGTTTTAGTGAAAGAATAAGTATGCTATGTTTATAACTTTTCTGTTACATAGGAATTTGGAAGCTCCACTGATGCCAGTGTATTCTGTAAAAGGCCATAACGAAATCATAAATACTATAGATGGTGTAGGTGGCTTAGGAATTGGGGAAGGAGCACCAGAAATTGTAACTGGAAGCCGAGATGGTGAGTCAGAATACTCTATTTTTTCCAGGAAAAATTCCATCCATCTTTGTGGACGCTGAAGTAGAAAAAAGTCTTTTTGAACCCCTAGTTTTAACTATATTCATTCCTTCATTTGAGTCTACACATTTATAGGTAGTAGTATTTCACATTCCTATTGCACTCTGTCATTTACAATCTTATTTGATACTTAAACAATCTTGTGAAGTAGGCAAAACAAGTAATATTCACATTTAACAAATGGGGAAACTGAGGGTGAGAGGGGTGATTTGTCTGTGATTTACCTGTGATTCTACAGCTGGTATGTGACAGAACTGAGACTATAACTCAGGGACTCTTAGACCTCATCTAGTCCCCTCTTCATTATGCCATACTTCTGCTTGTGGGCAAGTTAGAGCTTAAAAATAAGTCATCTTATGTTAGTTTGTTAATAAAACTAAGTGATATTAGATAAAATGAGTATCTTAGTGTAGTGGCATGACACTTGTTGTTAGCTTTGTACTGGGCCAGATCATTGAAATCTGTTTTCCTGTGAATCTTGTAGACTTTTAAAATCTAGCAACTGCCAATATAATGTGAATGGCAACTCTCTTTTTCTCCTTTTTAAAAAACAAATTTAGTGCAAGTAAAAATTGCTAGATTGATGCTGTTAAAAAGCAAAGGATTCTGTTTACATCCACTAACAAAAAGAGATTGTATCCCAGGTGTCTTCAGTGACAGTGCCCCTGCTCTTTCCCAGGCCAGACTTCTTTTTGACTTCATGGAGAAGGGAGAGGGAAATTCAGGCACCTAAGCATGCCCGGGGTGGGGAGGAAAAAGAAGTTCATTGAAGGAAAACGTATTTGGTGGCTGTCAGTAACTGGGGAAGGTGAAAAAAAGAAGAGGAAGTTTTTTCAATAGGGGCTCAGAAGCAGTTTTTTTAAGGCTCTTATTTTATAGTAACAAGAAATATATACATATGTAAATTTTATATACATGTTTATTTAAATTTTCAAAAATTTATTATGATTTATTTTGAATGTATTTTTTATATATTTCTATTATTGTTGTCTTCCCTGGTAGAAATTCCTTAATGGCAATGACTTTCCTTTTTGCTTTTGTGTCCTCATTGCCTAGCACAGTCCCTGGCACATAGTAGGCACTTAATGAATGTTTGTCAATTGATTGATTTTCTAAAATTCTCCCTCCTGCTGACTGTTCTGCATCTATTAAGGCAGCCCTGTGTTAGTACATACATTCCCGTCTCTCTGGGTGTGATGTAGGAATAGAAGATGAATCCAGTTAATTAACTTGAATAATTACATGTTCAAGTAAAAGGCAGAAATAGAAATTCAGTCATTTAGCATTAATTTAGTAAGTATTTATTCAATTTTTATTGTATACTATGCACTACATTAGGTTCTCTGCCCTCAAGGATTTTATCATCCAGAAATTGGTTAGAGAAGAATTACCTTTAATTTGATTCTGCTCTTTTTCCTCAGTACTAAAAGAAAATGAAAGTTGATTTTGAAAGAAATGATATCTTTGAATCCTACATAAGCTACAGCAGTTATAGAAGCTTATAGTAGGTCCTTATTAAATATTTGTTGGTTGATTGATTATATTGTTTATTGTACCTATATAGGTCAGATAACATTAGTGAAAAGGAGGAAAGAGTATAATGAAAACTAATGAGAGCATTTTTAATAGATTAGTGTCAAACTAGAACAAAGAAAACAATCTATGATCTGAGGTAGGTAACAAGTATGCTTTTTTTATGAGTGAAACCTAGATTATGTATTATTTTAGAATGGCTTTTTAAAATTCATTAATCTGAAAAACCAGTCAGGTGATACTGATCTTACTTCTGTGATCGATAAGTGCAGTATTACTTAGGATTATAAAATGACAGATTTAGGGCTGGAAAGGACCTTAGAGGTCATCTAATCTAATCCCCTTATTTTTCACATATGAGTAAACTGAGGTACAGAATGAATATGTGATTTGCTCAGAGTCCTACAAGTTACTTCCTAGGTCCTCTGACTCCATTTCCAGTGTCCTTTCCATGATACTATTTCCCAGTTATTACAGGTCAGAAAATATGTGAATTTTCTCTGGTATCATGGTACCTAAAACACTAGGTTTTAGGTGGATACTTTAGCCTCTCAGTAATTGTTTTTAGAAGTATTATTATAAGAAAACTAAAAGGAAACCAGTTGATAACCATTCACTTTACCAATCCCTTTTTATTCCTGATAGGAACCGTAAAGGTATGGGACCCCAGGCAAAAAGATATTCCTGTTGCTAATATGGAACCTGTACAAGGAGAAAGCAAGAGAGACTGTTGGACTGTTGCATTTGGTAAATTATTAATCAACATTTGGATTTTTAGGTATCAGAATACAAAATATGAGAGCCCTTGAAGAAATTTTAAGGATTATGTATGTGTAGCCCTCCTTTCAGGATTATCTGATTTATACAGAATTTTAAAAAAAATTTGCCTAGATCTAGGGGCCTGCAACTTTTTTTTTTTTGCACTGAATTCCATCAGCAGGGTTGAGAAATACCTCTGAGTGACACTGGTCACCCAAGCAAATAGGTTTGTGAAAGAAAATAGAAACCAGTAGGAGAGGACAGGAAAAGAGAAAGAAGAGATGCAAAGAATAGGGAATAGCAAAGTGCCACTGATTTATTGCTTCAAATAAGATTCAGTAGCACTTGTAGCAGTTTGCTTTCTGCATTTGATATATGCTTAAATTAAAAGTACTAATATTGTTTTCTGAAGTTGTATTATAATAGCACCTTCAAACATGTGTTCTTGTAATTGTTTAAACTATTAATAACTGTATCACTGTCAAAACCAATAGCATATTAATAACAATTCTAATAGTCATTGTCGCTTTTACTTGATAAAGTGATGAGTTAATCTTCGGAATGTTCTCTTCTATGTGTTAGTATAGATATCAGAAGTGGAAAACTGTTGTGTGTCATATTATTGGTATAGGGAACTCCTGATAAGAAAACTCCTTCTACCAAAGTAGATCAGCACTTTCTCCCAAGTCATTGGCATAGACAGTTGCATGGGTCACTGAGAAGTTAGGTGAGTTGTCCACTGTCATAGCCACCATGTTTCAGAGGCAGGACTTGAGCCAAAGTCTTGGGACCCCAAATCCACCTCCCCATTCCCATCTAGCTGCCTTTCTACATACGGCCATAGCAGTTGTAAAAATATAATATTATTAGATAGTATATTATTACAAATTGTAATCACTGAAATGCTAGCATCCTTTACAATGCATACACTATATCATGATGAATGACATTGTTGTAATACTAATCATTATGATGGTGACAGTAAGAAATACTCCTGCTGGCTCTTTGTTATCTGCTATTCTTAAGTTGGATTTATTACTGGTGAACCATTTGAAATCTATGCTTCTTGTACCAGTTTTGCACTACAACTAGAGAAGAGTCTTCCTAAGGTAGATTTCTCTTCTTTAAGTCTCTTATTTTTTTCTCAATTACGTGTAAAAATATTTTTAACATTCGTTTTCTTAAATTTTGAGCTCCAAATCCTTTTTCACCCCTCCCTGCTCCTTGAGAAGGCAAGCAATTTGATATAGATTATATATGTAAATCTTGCAAAACACATTTCCATGTTAGCCATATTGCAAAAGAAAACACAGACCAAAAAAACCCAAGAAAAATAAAGTAAAAATATTCTTCAATCTACATTCATACTTCAGCAGTTTTTTCTGTAGAGGTGGATAGCATTTTTCATCATATCTTCCTTGGGAACTGCCTTGGATCATTATATTGAGCAAAATAGCTACGTCATTCTCAGTTGATCATCATACAATATTGCTGTTACTGTGTACAGTGTTATCTTGGTTCTGCTCCATTCACTTTGCATCAGTTTAGTCTTCCCAGGTTTTTCTGAAACCATCTTGCTTGTCATTTTGTATAACACAATACTATTCCATAGTAATCATATGTCAGAACTTGTTTAGACATTCCCTAATTGATGAGCATCTCCTGAATGTCCAATTATTTTTATACATATAGGTCCTTTTCCTTTTTCTTTGATCTCTTTAGGTTATAGACCTAGTAGGGATATTGCAGTTTTATAGTCTTCTGGGCATAGTTCCAAATTGCTCAAGATCAGTTCACAACTCCACCACCAATACATTAGTGTTCCAGTTTTTCCACATTCCCTCCATCATTTGTCATTTTCCTTTTCTGTCATATTAGCTAATCTGATAGGTGTGAGGTGGCACACCAGAGTTGATTTAATTTGCATTTATTTAATCAGGAATAATTTAGAGCATTTTTTCATATGACTATAGTTAGCTTTAATTTCTTCTTCTGAAAACAGCCTGATCATATCCTTAGACCATTTATCAATTGGGGAATGATTCATATTCTTATAAACATGACTCAGTTCTCTATATATTTGAGAAATGAAACTGTGTCAAAGAAACTTGCTATAAAAATTTTCCCCAGTTTTATGCTTTTCCTTCTAATCTTGGCTGCATTGGTTTTGTTTGTGCAAAACCTTTTTAATTTAATGTAATCAAAATCATCCATTTTATCTCCTGTAATTCTATTTCTTGTTTGCTACTAAATTCTTTCCTTCTCCATAGAACTGACAGCTAAAATTTTGCATGCTCCCCTAATTTGCTTATGATGTTACCTTTATGTATAAATCATGTACCCATTTTGACCTTATCTTGGGATACAATGTGAGGTGTTGGTCCGTACCTAATTTCTGCCAAACTGCGTTCCAGTTTTCCCAGCAGTTTTTGTCAGATAATCAATTCTTGTCCCAAAAGCTTGGCGCTTTGGGTTTATCAAATATGAGATTACTGTGGTCATTTACTATTATGTGTGGTATACCTAATCTGTACTGCTGATCCAGTCCTTTGTTTCTTAGCCAGTACCTGATTGTTTTGATGATTACCACTGTGTAATAAGTTTGAGATCTGTTACTGCTAGGGCATCTTCCCCTGTTGCTAGCAGGCACTGTCCCAAGCTCCAGGTTTTATGTGCTGCTGTTTTCAGAACTAGTTCTGGGGGTGGGGGAGTCTATAAGTTTTTGGTGCTTCCAAGGTGTTGTGATCCAAGGAGAGGTGTGGTCACTGCTCTCCTGCCTTGTGCTCTGGTCTTTACTCAGAAAGGGACTTTGTTCTACAGCCACAACTGCCAGTGTCCTCTTGGCACAAGAACTATGACCAGATGCCCTGCTATCCTGCAGCCACAAGCACTAGTCCTCCTTTCTGAAACCTGGGCCCCTACTCCTTTGTGAACAACTGCAAGGACTCTTCACTCTGGAACTGTGACCAGGACCTCTGTTCCACTGTGGCTACAAGTACCGTCACTCATTTTGGCCCTGGAACTGTGACTCAGGCACTTGCTCTCTGATGGCTGCATGCACTAGTGCTCTTCTGCCTTGGAACTGAGACCAGGGCCTGGACCCTTGCTCCCCTGCAGTCAATCCTCTTTGCCCTTGAACTGCGACCTATAACTACATCTGGACAATGCAACAGGTTGCCAAGCCCAGCACCAGCAAAGAATCCCCTGTAATCTCTTTCTAACCGGTTGCCTGACACCCTTACCATCTGTGGACTGAGAGTCCCTGAACCTGGTGTTGGTGCTTTTTCAACCACCTCCAAGGCCTGTTGCTGGCTTTGCCATGGAATGGACCATTCTGCACTTTAGGTCCCGATCATCACCCCCGTGTGACAGACTTTTCCTGTCAACCTCCTAAGTTGTCTTGGGCTGCAAACTTGTTTCACCTTAACCTTGTGTTGGCTCTGCTGCTCCAGAATTAGATTTGCAGTGTTATTTTAAAGTTGTTTGGATTGGAATTTGGGAGGATTCAGGTGAGTTCCTGCCTCTACTCTGTCATCTTGGCTCTGCCTCCAGTTTGCTTTTCTATTTCTGTATTCCTCATTGCCTAACATAACACTCGGTAGACAGAAGGTATTCCTTAAGGAATGAACTGTTTAGTTACTGTTTCTTTTAGCTGGATATTATTTAATAGAAGTAAAAAAACATTAATTAAGATATTTAAAAAATATATCATGCAGAAGTTACTGATTAGGTCAACACTACTATTCTAGGAAAAGACATGGCACTCAATTGTCCTGTGGCTCTGATCACTATCCTTCTGACTTCCCTCTCTTACTGCACTACTGCCTTATACATGTTGTCTTCTCTTATTAAGATGTGAGTTCCTTAACTGTCTTTCCATTTTATTGTAACCCCAGCACTTAGCACAACCTGGCACATAGTAAGTGCTCAGTAAGTGTTTTTTAATTCATTTAATTACATGTAGTATTTGTATTATGGGGGGAGTTTTTTAGAACTTGAAGAAAATAAGGGCAGCTAGGTGATGCAGTGAATACAGCACCAGCCCTGGAGTCAGGAGGACCTGAATTCAAATCCGGTCTCAAACTAGGTGCTTGACATTTACTAGCTGTGTGACCCTGGGCAAGTCACTTAACCCCAATTGCCTCGCCAAAAAAAAAAAAAAACCTTGAAGAAAATAATAGCACTTATATGGCATCTTTAGATTTATAAAGCTTTTTACAGGTATTCTTTTTTTTATCCTTGCAACAACTCTGTGATGTAAATACTGGGTATTGTTTTCCTCATTCACAGAAGAGGAAGCTAAGGCTCAGTAAAGTTCTTTGTTCTCTCATGTTTACATAGTTTGAAACTTTTCCAGTGTTTTTATACCTTACTCTCCACCATGTTCTCTTGTACTCTTCATTCCAATGGCACTGGACTCCTGATTATTTCACAAACAAGACACTTCATCTCTTGGCTCCAGGCCTTCTCTCTATCTGTCCCCCTTGGTTGGAATGCTGCCCCTCCTCCACTCCAGCCACTGGTACTTTAAGTCCCAACTAAACTCCCATTTTCTACAGGAAACCTTTCCTAACTCTCTTAATTCTGGTGCCTTTGCTGTGTTAATTATTTCCTATTTGACCTATATATAGTTTGCTTGTACATATTCATTTTCTTCTTTTCTCCCTCATTGGATTGTGAGCAGAGACTATCTTTTGCCACTTTTTGTATCCCCAGGACTTAGTAGGTGCTTAATAAATGTTTATTGATTGATTAAGTAATAGTTTATAAGGAGCAGAGGAAGCATTTCTAGCTGGATGCCAGATCGAACACTCTTTCTACCATGCTGATTCTTGTGTGTGCTAAGTCATCTCAAAAATGAACTTTGTGGGGTGAAGCTAAGATGGCTGAGTAGAAGTGGCAATCTAGCTAAACTCTCCCAACATACTCCTCCAAGCATCTTTAAAATTAACATGTCAAATCAAATTCTGGAGAGGCACACCTAACCA